GGTCTCACGGTTGCTTGACCTTGTTGGCGCCTCTGCAGAGATAACAGCAGCACCTGGCTTGGCATCTTCCTCCCCCCTTCTCCTAACTTCTATGGCGGGAACAAGCAAGCAGGCCTCTAATTAATACTTTAACCATTTAACTGTCAAATATGCATTGCTGGTCTAAATTAAATGAAACTAAGATTTCTAGCTTGCGTAGATCCTGACAGGAGACTTTGAATTTTTATGAATAACTAGAAGGAAAGATATGGAAAGATATGGAAATATCAGCTTACAAAGCTGAAATATAAAGAAGCCCACCTTTTTCTCTTAGATCTTCAATGTTTAAATCACAGGAACAATTCATATGATGTTGATTCACATCACAAAGAATTTTATTGGTCCTTGCATTTACCATCTTGCAATGGGAAGAGTTTTCAGAAAGACCAAAAGAATTTACATCCACTCTCACACGAACCTAAAAGAATAAGAAACAATAAATTTATTCAATGCTAGTTATAAAATTGCCAGTTTTTATTCTGACAATGAGGTAAGGAGGAGAAACCTACTGAAATCTGTGCAACCCCACTGATTAAATCCAAACAATCAGCTAGGAAACAGGATCTATCCAGGTTTCCTTCCTTCTGTTCCAAGTCTATAATGATTTAGCATTATACAGTATATGTATGTTTGTTTTGTTTAAACTGTAGCAACAACTGTTCAAAAATTACTTCAGGCTATGTTTCCAATCTCTGCTTTCTAAGAGTTTCTGATTCATGTTAACATGGATTTATACCAATGAACAAACAATACTAAACCATTCCTGATAATAGCAAAGGGATGTTGATTAAAAGTAGGAGGAAACAACATAGATGAATAGACTCTCTTCTGCACTTAATAAAGAGTCAATAATATGGAATAATTCAGTTGTAACTTCAAAGAAGATCCCAAATTACTTTTTGTCCCATAGAATTAGCCTAGCTCCTCTTCACTTTTGCAAGACAAACACCATGCTCACTTAACTAATGTATTCATTTATTTTTATAAAAAACCCACACTTTAATTGCTAAGTGACATGTTCTGAGACTATTCATTTATTGATTGTTTATAGTGCCACTTGTAAAGATTATTTGACAACTTACTATTTAAGCTAATTGGCTTTTTAAGTGGTGATGCTAGGTAATTTTATACGCTAGACTGAAGGATCTTGCAGTGTGTTCCTTTAGATGGCGATATATATTACTTGGAATAAGCACAATTTTATTGGGGAAAAATATATATATGAAGAAAAATAAAATAATAAAATGAACACCTATAACAAATGAATATACCCAACATTTACTCATTGGGTATAATTTTAAAATAAGAAAATGTATTCCACTGAGCACTGTTGCATTTTTATGTGTTCCAGTAGAAGCTTTGATGTCAGGACTGTTTGCTACTGTCCTTCAACCATCTGCAAAGTTATTTCGTTAATATAGCCACAACCCAAAGTTCAGCCCTATGACGATCATGGATCTGGAGGGCCGCAAGTTATAGTAGACTAGTTAATCTATTTAGTATAACCTTTAGTAGAGAAGAATATTTAGAAATTTGAAAGTCATGAAATGCAAACAGTATTGCTATAATAAGTACAACTGGTAGGAAACGTCTATGGCTTGGGCTAGTTTCTACAGAGCAAAGATGTATTGTGCTCCAACAGCAGCTGAAATATCAGCTGAATATATGATTCTGTATCATTACCACTATCTCTTTTATTTACTTGTGTATAATTTACTTGGTTGGATCCAAAGGTAAAGCAGACCCCCTGAAATCATGAGATTTAGTCACAAAAACAGGTGTTTTTGTAATTTCATTGAATTTATAAGCATGACTAAGTCTAGATTTGTCTACTTTTATTGGCACAATGAGAGATACTACTCTTGGAGAAGAGATTATAAAAATTACTAAGGGCTACTGATGTTAGAATTGTATAGCCCCATAATGGGTTTCATTGGTAAAAAGCTAAGGAAATGGGCAATATTTTTAGTCAAATGACTGGAACACTGCAATAACTCAATATTGTCATGACAGCAAAATCACTATTTTCAACCATTTTATTACTATTACTAACTTTAATCTATGAATAATGAATTATGAATAACATACCTCATTTCTTTTGAGTTGAGAAGTGTAGATTTTCAGGCACTTATCTGTGCCATATGAAATATTTGCCCAGTTAGGTGAATTATTAGGAAATGAACATTCTCCTTTTAAAGTGCAGCTGAACAAAATGCAAATACATTTGTGATAGAAATACCAAACCATTGATTCTGTATAGCAATTCACATTAACTGTGTTTCACTAGCCATTTCTGTACTTCTTCCTCAGCTCACAGCAAGTTGAGAGGGCGTGTTTCACATACAATGTGGCTTGGGGCAAGTATCCGATTTCTACTCAGTTGGTTTAAAAAAAAAATAGTTGCTCTACTGTTTCTACAAGCAGGGCAAGCATTTCTGAGAAACAGATTGGCCTAATCAGATTAACATGTTCTACTGTATTTGCTTGTGTGGTATTGTTTTGTTTTTTATGGTTCTAAAATCATTTTACAAAACAGCCAAAGCCAAGAATCAATGTAATGGCCTGAAGCTCAGATCTGGAGGAGCCTAAATTTGAAGTTTTGGAAGCCTGGAATTAAGAACATAAAGAGATTCAACTAGATTAGATTAAAATCCATTCATCTTTATCTACTTTCAGGAGTATAACTACAGCTCTCAGGACTCCCAACAGCTAGCAGGGAATTCAGGGATTTGTAATCCCAATATTATTGGAAAACACCAACATTTTCTTTTTAAAGCTGGTGTGCAAGCTGCTTCTGGGATGTTTATATGCAGAGCATTAATTATTTTGCTTCAATCTTTAAAAATGATTTATACCCCGCTCGCTTGGAAAAACTAAATAAACCTTAAATGAAACTTCTGGTTTTCTTTAATTCAGGCACTTGCTTTGTTTGAACATCATCATGGAATCAGATGCTCCTTGGAACAAAGAGATTCCATTTTTTCTGAATACAGAGGTTCCAGAGATATACATGTGCTCCATAGTTTGGTCTAACTGAAAAGAAAATTAACATGGCAATAAATACTGAAATAGATTTGATGCACAAATTCATTAATAATTTTTAGGGGCCACAGAATTGCAAATCTGAAAATCCCTGCCTTAGTGAAAATCCCTATGAACCACAGAAATAAAATGATGTAATATGACTTTCTTACAAAACACACATAATTTTGAACAGATATTCATGGAATATTTATGGTAAATAAGCATTTATTTATTAATGCAAAAATAAATACCTTTTCTTTGCATGGCACCATCCACAGTGTGGGTCCATTGCAGATAAACAGTCTCTACAGGAAATATACTTGCTGCAATTTGCAACCTGTATTCTTCTGATCTAAAAAATTTTAAAAAGTGCTTTTTGCAAATTCCTTATCAGCCATTCCAAACAGATCAAATAATATTTTTATGAGTCAGAGATACACAAAAAAGAATAACTGTTTTTAAAACGAAGTCTTAATTCTTAAAAATAGGGAAGCATTCAATCAAGTATGTTTTATTAGAAAACTATAATAACAGTGTTTTTAGTACACTGATGCCATTTTGTCACTTTTTAAATTTGACTTAAATGTGAACTCAGGAGGCTCTACAAAGAACCATTTGTGAACTTGATTTGAGCTTATTCTGGCTGGTAAAAGCTAGCTGACAAATAGCAAGTCTTTGGTAGTTTATGTTGTGTTTTATTCTGGAACATCAATGTGGCAAATACTGTACTTGCTTTACTGGAGTGTAAACATTAAAATTATGGATGTTTGCTGATGATTTGGTGATAATTTTGGAAGATCATCTGGAAGGAAT